GAAAGCTGCAACCGTCCTCTTGCACCACGCAGAAACGGGCTGCAAGCTGCAGTGCTGGGTTGCTGCCTGGGGCAGAGATCACGGCGCCAGGCTTCCCTTCAGCTTGAAGATGGGAATAAAAAGAAAAAAGGGGGAACTCTTTAAGTTTGGACTTGACACGGAGAAGTGCTGATCTTGCGACCGGCAGGATAGCTGTAAAGCAGACAAAGAAGGGATCCTGGTCTCCAGGGTCAAACCTGGCTTCATCCAGCCCGCCTGCCTAGGGGCACAGACGGGGTCTCGCCTCGAGGCTGCAGGGCTGGCAGAGACCACGCCAGGTGCCCAAGATAAGAGCAGTAGCACGGAGGGGAAGGAGCCCAGCGGTAGGTTTGGACAGAGCTAGGCAAACCAGGCCCAGGCTTTGCAGCCGAAGCTCAGCTCTGACTCAGTTGCACCCAATTTGGCTGCCCCTTGTGAGCTTCCTTATTTCACTCCTCCAGGACGCGAGTGCTGCTAACGCTGCACCCTTCAGAAAGCCCCCTTGCAAAACAGGGAAAATTCATTTTGCACCCTGTGCCCACGCAGCCAGCCAGGCCCACACAACACCTCGTGATTTAGCTGACAACCGCTATCCCTTCCTTGCAGCAGAGTCACAACCAATGCAAGGACTTTTTTATTTTTTTTAAAGGGTTATTTCCTGCAATGACTCTTACCTGAAAAAGAGATGAATATTTTGCAAGGCCGAAGCAAGGCTGAGTTCCTTGACTCGAGCTAAGGATTGAGGAAGGGCTTGGTATCGGGGAGGGAGCAGAGCATCGTATGGGTCTGCCCCATTTCTGATCTAGGGAGCCTTCAAACAGAAAGGCGCTTCCAGCCCTGTGTGCTTTCAGACAATGTTATTTGGGCTTCCAATTTATTTATTTATTTTTTAATCTAGTAAAGAACAAGGAGGCTCCTGATCACAGGAAAGAAAGTTTGACGGGAGGCAGTCACCGTGCTAGCAGCAGGTCTCCAGTGAATCCTAGTGCAGGGTGTAGTTATCAGCTGATTATCACAGCTGGGGGCATTAGCACCAACTAAATGCTCCCAATCCCCTGAAGTTTAATTATCCCTTATAAATAAATGCACCCGCAGGCCCATTCACACAGCCTCCCCCGTACACCTCCTCCAGCTTATCCAGCAGCGGTGGAAGGCTCATGGAACACATTTAAAGGCATCAACAGGTTTGGATGCATCTGGCGTCTTTGCTGGAAACAGTGCTTCCTGGCGCCCAGGTGGCTTTCGCCCCATTGATTTTTAAATGATTTAAAAAATCACAATGTTTTCTTCCCGCTCCCCAGGGTCCGGCTGCAGCACAGACACTCCCCGCAGGAGTGACCTTTTGGGCGTTACGGGCAGGAGATTCTCGGTTATCTAACAGACAGATTCTCCCCGCTGCTCCTGTTCCACAAAGATGCCGGTTGTCCCTCACTGATCCTCCCACCCCTCGCTCTTTGCTGTGACCTCGAAAAGAAGACGAAGCTCAGAGACCGTACTGCCATTGTACACTGCCATCTCTCCTTCCCCTGCAGGCCAAGTTGCCCTGTGGTCCCTGGTTGTCCTGGCCATCGAGCGCTACATCGTTGTCTGCAAACCCATGGGAAACTTCCGCTTCTCCTCAAGCCACGCCATGATGGGCATCGCTTTTACCTGGGTAATGGCCTTTTCCTGTGCGGCTCCACCCCTCTTTGGCTGGTCCAGGTGAGTTGAAGGATGCTCCGCAGCAGCCCCAGCTGCCATGCAGACACCCCAACAGGACGGGAGGAGACACAGCCTGTCTCCTGCCATGAAACTCCCCAAGCTTCATCCGAGTGAGACTGGAAACACCACGTCTGTTGGTGTTATGGTGGCTCTGTGTCCCGTCAGGTCAAGGTAGCTCCAGGCTCGGTGTCCCCAGCTGCAATAATCCTCCACGCTCCCTTTACGTGCTGCAGAGAGAAAGAGGTGCTTCTGCAGACACAGTTCAACCCATCCTTGGGATCCACATCCATGAGAATCGTGGAGCCTCCTGGACCCTGCAGCCACCTTTGTCTGTACCCTCACCCTGACCAGCCCTCCAAGCTGCCCTCCTCCCAGCGCCGCAGAGGGGATCATCCTTCCAGGACCATGGGGCGATCTGGCTAGGAGGATTAGGCAGGGGCATGGACCCCCGCTGCTCTCTGCACTGCCCAGAGAGTAACAAAGGAGCCACGGAGGCAGAGGGGATTTCTGTAATGCTGAGGCTCTGGCTCCCCAAGATCCTTCAGCAGAGTGGTCCTGTGGGGTTGTAGCAAGCCCCTACCAGCCTTTGGGCATGCCCAGGAGGTGGCTTTAGGGGCAGCAAGGTCCCCATGCCACCAGCTGGCGACAGCACAGCAAAACCCATGGCCACATAGTCCCACTCCAGCTTAGGATGGCGATCCCCGGCTGACAGCCATCCTCAGCTGTCAGGAGGAACTCCTGTGCTATGTCCCTCCAGGCCAAGGCCTCTGCTGTGCATCTCGGCCCCATGCAGCCGTGGGGACAAAGCCCTCCGGAGCTCAGACCAACCCCGCCAGTAGATCCCGTCCCTCCACGGCATCCCTCTATCTGCAGAGGGAGAGAGCAGGTGGCTCCTGGCAGGCAACTGCTCAGCCATGTAGGAAGGAAATAAATAGCCTGTTCCCCGTGGGAGGAAGCAAGTGTCACAACAAACCCATGTTACGCACCCAAGCGCAACATGTCGGCACGGTGCGAGCAGCAAAGCGGGCCTTGCTCACTCGCTGCCTGCCCCAGCGCGAGCAGGCTGCCGCGAAGCCGGGAACAGCACCGAGGAGCCCTGGGGTTTTGGGGCACCCCAGGGGAGGGTGCAATGGACGTGTGCTGCTCTGGGAGCATCTCCCAACCTCAGAGGATCCAGTTGCCCATTTTAACCCACTGCTGTTGTCCCCGAGGAGGGTCCTCGCGAATGTCCTAATCTTTCTCCTTGGCAGATACATGCCGGAGGGGATGCAGTGTTCCTGCGGCCCTGACTACTACACCCACAACCCCGACTACCACAATGAGTCGTACGTCCTCTACATGTTCGTCATCCACTTCATCATCCCCGTTGTTGTCATCTTCTTTTCCTATGGGCGGCTCATTTGCAAAGTCCGAGAGGTAGTGTCCAGACGGGGACCAGGGGACGAAGGGGGATGGGGAGGGCTGCCCGGGCAGGAGAGGAGAGGCGATGTTGGGGCAAAGAGCTGCAGGGTCCCACTCACTGCCCCTGCCCATGCCCGCAGGCAGCTGCCCAGCAGCAGGAGTCAGCCACGACCCAGAAGGCGGAGAAGGAGGTGACACGGATGGTGATCCTCATGGTGCTGGGCTTCATGCTGGCCTGGACACCCTACGCCGTGGTTGCATTCTGGATCTTCACCAACAAGGGAGCCGACTTCACCGCCACGCTCATGTCAGTGCCTGCCTTCTTCTCCAAGAGCTCCTCCCTCTACAACCCCATCATCTATGTCCTCATGAACAAGCAGGTGAGATGCCCCAGCAGCGCAGCCCGACTTTCTCCCTCTGACCAGTGGCTCGGCTGGTCCCCAGCACAGCCCCCTGCACGGCCTTCCCCCTGCCTTCGGCTCAGCAGTGCTTTCAGTGTTGCAAGGGCACCTTGTTCCTCCCCAGGAGTGGTTGCCTCTCAGCACGACAGGGAGCTGCAAGCTGGAGGGCTGCCTGGTGTTCCCTGTTGCCCCTAGTGCCACCATTTTCTCTTTCTCTCCCTGTTCTAGTTCCGTAACTGCATGATCACCACGATCTGCTGTGGCAAGAACCCCTTTGGGGATGAAGAAGTCTCCTCCACTGTATCCCAGAGCAAGACTGAAGTTTCCTCCGTCTCCTCCAGCCAAGTATCACCTGCATAGACCAAGGACAGTTTGAAATGGGGTGCCTCTCCGAGCTCTGGGACCGAGACCTAGACACCCATGCACCCACAAACTCGTTTCACGCAATCACTCCCTTGCACACTGACACCCCTCCCCTGCCGGCCTGCCAGGCTGTGCTCTCCTGCCCGAGACCTAGCTGTGCAAATACTGCTGCCGCTTCCCCCTCCAGCGCCCGGGCAGCCCCACGTGCAGCCCCCACACCCCGGGCACACTCGCGGGGGCACCCCTGCACCCGCTAGTGCAAACACGGCCAGAGCTCTTCCATATGGGCACCCGCTGTGGTTGCATCCCCAGGCACAAACGCTGTCCTGCCCCATGCGAGCCCTGGGGCACTTCTCCCCGAATCTGCATGCCAATACCCCGTGATAAAACCCGACCTGGGCTGCCAGTCTGCAGCCAGAGCAACATAGCAGAGGCTGCCTTTGCAAGGGGTTCCCTTTCCAGCACCTCTGATGCAGGAGGAAAAAAAAAAAACCTCCTGTAAAGCACTGCCGACGTTGCACATGTGTGCGAACACCTTCCCCAGCGCACCCCCGGGTGCCGAGACGGGCACCTCCAGCGCTCACATCGCATTACAACGGCAGCAGACGGTGGGAAAGAGGAAAGCCCAAACCAGAGTATTTTCCTCCCTGCTCCTCCGAAACGCGCTCCCTGCTAGCATCCTCCTTTCCCTGGCGCTCAAAGGAGTATCTCGGAAGCGTTCATCCCTCATTTAAAAACTAGCCGTACAAACAAAGACGGCACCATCAAGAAAAGCCCCAAAAGTCTCAGAAGCACTAATCCACACCTGGAGCGTCTCTGCTGCCCCTTGCCAACGCCGGAGCCGGTCCTGCCAGAGCCGCGCGCCCCTGCTCAAGGCACAGCCGAAGCCACTCGATACCCGTAGTCTTCATAAATCAATATAACAAATGGAGCTGCGGGCGGGCTTCGCTTTTAGCCCGACTCCCTGTATCCCCAAGACAACACTGTAGATATATTTTTGTCTTGGAACCTGTAAATATTTGCTCACGTACTTTGAAGTCTCTATCTTTTTTGGCCCTTTCCTCCTTCTCCTCCTCCCAAATCCAAGGCAGAGACCATCTTTCACCGGCCCGACATGCCCAGCCAGCCTTGGAGGGTGGGACCGCTACCTGAGCCCTTTCCTGTACATATTGTATAAATAAATAACACCGTGTCAGCGCAAGGACTCCTACAGTCGAGGAGCAGGGATTTAAAAAAAAAAAATGAACACCAGCAGCACAGAGAGAGGGGGGGAATAAAAAAAAAAGATGCTTCAGTTCAGTTCCTGAGCCCTTTCCTGTACATATTGTATAAATAAATAACACCGTGTCAGCGCAAGGACTCCTACAGTCGAGGAGCAGGGATTTAAAAATAAAAAATGAACACCAGCAGCACAGAGAGAGGGGGGGAATAAAAAAAAAAGATGCTTCAGTCCATTTACTTCTCTTGGCATCGCG